TTTGTTGTCTCGAGATAACAAGATAAATAACTTGTTATTTCAAGATTCCAATTTTGTTATCTTGAGATAACAAAATAAATAACTTGTTATTTCAATATAACAAAGTTGTTATCTTGAGAAAACAAGATAAGTAACTTGTAAATTCAAGATGACAATTTTGTTATCTTGAGATAACAAGATAAGTAATTTGTTATTTCAAGATAATTTTGTTGTCTTGAAATAACAATATAAATCTTATAATCTGAATATAACAACTTTGTTATCTTGATATAACAAGATCTTGAAATAACAAGATAAGTAATTTGTTATTTCAAGATAACTTGTTATCTCAAAATAACAATCCAGAAAAGAAAAAAAAAATATGTATACATATATATATATATATATATAAACTAAGTAAAATACAGATTAATTGTCACTGGAGATGCTGAAGTGCCAAAGATATTGTGTCTCTATGTACCACAGCCCCCGCAGTGTTTATGAAATGCAGCATATAAGTAAACTTGCTTAGCAGGGAACCTTTGTTTTTGAACTAGCAGGCCACTCTTGTAGACTCGTTTTCCTATTCTTGACACGCTAAACTAACTTATCTTTAATCTGCAGAAGGACAATGACAACGATGACATCATGGAATTAATGTTTCATCTATGACAGCAGCTGCAACAATAAACCACCTGTTTATTATCTTCAGGTAACTGAGGAGGAGCTGTTTGCCACAGCGAGTCAGTTTGAGCCAACATGGCTGAATCACTGCCAAGTAAGACAGCAGTGGCGTCTGAGTGGTCGAGTACGGTGGGCTGTTCTCTCCATATGGCTTTGATGTGCTTTCTCTGAGCGCTGCACGCCTTATAGGATGTTCTGTGTGCACTGGGGAGTGTAATTACTCACATTTTGCCCATGAAAGGTAATCCATCATTCTTAACCATCCAATTAGCTAATGCTATAATGATAATCAAAGGCCCTTCTATTATTAACAACAGTAATTTGCTGTTGGGGTGGGGGGGGGGCAGAGCGACGGGCACGCTCGTTTTCACTGCAAGTATATTAGCACTAATTCTGCATTTGCTTTGTCTCCCAACCATGGCAGAACCATTCAGAGGAACCGAATAGAGCCGTGCCGTCTTGGCCATATTAGTGTTTTCAGCTTTAAGAGTGGAGAATGGCCACCTCTTTCCTTTTAAAGGGGAATTCCATCGATTTTCTTTTACAAATTTTGCACTGAGAGTCGCTCAGAGTGGTGTGATGTGAAATGATTAGTTGCTGAGAACCTTACTGACCCTTACAGTGGTCATGATGTCTATAACACAAATATAGTCATTTTATTTACTATGCAAATTGACCAGTCATGCCAATAATGGTAAAATAGTGGTAAAAAAAAAATAACATAAAACTACAGTAAAGCAATTTCTCAAGCATATGCATACGCATTTCATGTAATACCGTTCTGTCAAGGAGCTTTTAGAGGCATTAAACTCTTCAGACATCTGGTTCCTATCACCGCCACTGTGAACAATTCTGACTCAGTAAGTTTCTCAGTAATGGGGAATTTCCTGTCAAACCATTTTAAATGAATTTATTTAGAGCTTTAACCAATTGTTTGTGTAGAAACTTTGGAAAACCAGTGTAATTGCCCTTTGTCACTAGATTTAGTGCCAGGAATTAAAGGAAGCCACAGTTACAAGTTAATAAATTGACTTGTTCCCTAATACAATAGTCCCATTAAATGATGGTGGGGGTTCCTAGAAGTTGCTGGTGCTCTCAGAACAATGTACTGACCTCCCCAGAGTCCAGACCTCAACATCATGTTTGGGATTACTTGGATGGTGAGAAGCAGTAAATGCAAAACCAACTTCTAAGACTGAACTTAGGAGGTGTGGAAAAACATCCCTGCAGATTTCTTTAAAAACTCCTGAAAAGAATGGACGCTGTAAATAAAGAATTTACATCAAACCAATCAATCATTTTTATACATCTCAGAAAGTTATTCTTATGATTTATAATTTAAGTATTCAGTCATATGCAGAAAGTTTAACACCCCGGTCAGATGTGATGTTTTTTTTTTTAAATAAGTTAACACATCATCCACTGAGACCAATTTTAAATGTGGCATTTTATTTTGCAAATTTTAGTGCACAACTTCAGTTTATCTCAGTTTAACAGATCACACACACACACACACACACACACACACACATCATTTAAACCGCTTATCCTTCTGGGTCGCGGTGGGGTGCTGGAGCCTATCCCAGCCGTCTTCGGGCGGAAGGCAGGATACACCCTGGACAGGTCGCCAGTCCATCACAGGGCAGACAGACAGACATATACATTCACACCTAAGGGCAATTTAGCGTGTCCAATCAGCCTGACTGCATGTCTTTGGACTGTGGGAGGAAACCGGCGAATCCGGAGGAAACCCACGCAGACACGGGGAGAACAGGCAAACTCCACACAGAAAGGACCCTGGTCGCCCGGCCGGGAATCGAACCCAGGCCATTCTTGTTGTGATATAATATAATATAATATAATATAATATAATATAATATATCATCGCTGTCCAAAGAAAAACAAGTATCTCCATTTTTTTCTATTTTTTATTTTTCTAAGTCATTTGAACGCGAGCTTCCCTTTACATTGTGTGAAAATTTCATAATGAATGGACCAATACAAATGCACTAAAATCACTTCAATGATTAAACATAAATGTAAAATAAATAAAATAGCCTGGAATAAAACCTTTTCACATTAACTTACATTAGAAGTAAAGAACGTTTGTGGCTTCTCCTGAAAAGTTGCCTTTTTGAAGATACTTGTTTTTCTTTGGGCAGCGGCGATATGCGTGTTTCTCTCATTTTTGCCATAATTACTTTCGTTTTTCATCTTTTTCTTTTTGATCTCCTTTCACTTCACTGTGTTTACTTTATTATTCATTTTAAGCATCATAAAACTGTTTCCTTTGACTTTTGTTTTCTATTTTGGCCCAGTGAACTTTAATTATGCTGCAGGAGGCTTTCAGGACATGATCGAAAACAGCTTTAATGTAGATCTCTAAACGATAAAAAACTCTTCCTGTTATGACTGTGAATACAACAAATGATGTCAACACTCCTTTTGCAAGATGTTCTAGTCTTTATCCTGCGCCGCAGTCGAACCATGATTTCTGTCGTTTTTCTGGAGTGACACACAGGATGTAGTGAGACATCCTGTCTGCAGAGGGGTTTAGGACAAATCAGAGTTTGGATGCAGTCTCTCATTAAGTCTCTCCCATTAGATCCGGGAATGACCCTCTGCTTCCTTCGTTATTATTAATCCAGGGTATGATAAGTATAGCAGGAAATTTCTCTCCATTACTGTTTGGAAGGCTCCCATTTCCTAATACAGAAATGGAGGCCACTACAGCTGCCTGTGTGTCGGTGGGTTTATTTTCTTTCTTTTTGTTGAGGTGTAAACAAAGTCAGAGTAGTTTGATGTGAGATGTTCATTATATAGAGATTTACTGACTCTTTACAGGATGGTGACAGGAAGCAGGGGCTGCAAAGTCTACAAGATGTATACATACATATACTTATAAACCGATCAGGCATAACATTATGACCACCTCCTTGTTTCTACACTCACTGTCCATTTTATCAGCTCCACTTACTATATAGGTGCACTTTGTAGTTCTACAGTTACAGACTGTAGTCCATCTGTTTCTCTGCGTACTTTGTTAGCCCCCTTTTACCCTGTTCTTTAGTGGTCAGGACCCCCATGGACCCTCACAGAGCAGGTACTATTTGGGTGGTGGATCATTCTCAGCACTGCAGTAACACTGACGTGGTGGTGGGTTAGTGTGTGTTGTGCTGGTACGAGTGGATCAGATACAGCAGTGCTGCTGGAGTTTTTAAACACTGTGTCCACTCACTGTCCACTCTATTAGACACTCCTACCTTGTCAGTCCACCTTGTAGATGTAAAGTCAGAGACGATAGCTCATCTGCTGCTGCACAGTTTGTGCTGGTCATCCTCTAGTCCTTCATCAGTGGTCACAGGACGCTGCCCACAGGACACTGTTGGCTGGATATTTTTGGTTGGTGGACTATTCTCAGTCCAGCAGTGACACTGAGGTGTTTAAAAACTCCAGCAGCACTGCTGTGTCTGATCCACTCAGACCAGCGCAACACACACTAACACACCACCACCACATCAGTGTTACTGCAGTGCTGAGAATGATCCACCACCCAAATAGTACCTGCTCTGTGAGCCTTGCCATTTTGGAGCTTCTCTGACTCATTTGTCCAAAGTCTCAGGCAGTGAATTCATAACCATTTAATGTAATGATTTTCTGTGAAGGAGCTTTTAGAGGCATTAAACTGTGAGTCTGACTGTGAGTCTGATCTGTATACAGTGAGTGAGTTCATTCGCTTCAGGAGGAGTTTGTAAGCATTGCATCATAAAATGGAGGGCGGAGGGTGTAAAGATGTAGTTACAGTGAGTGACCACAGGGCGGGGCTGTAGCTCTGCAGTAATTTACTCAAACAGGACAGTAGTGAGTTTTGTGGTTTTGTGCTGATTTTGGTAAAAAACGACAAAAGGCTTAAAGGCTTAAATTAAACTTTCTATAGTTTAGTGTATTTTCAAGGTATATTTATCTTATGTGCCATATGCCAAGGACATCTGTACACTGAAATGCTCGAGGTGAGGCTCAGGGAATTACTCTCTACAGCTCTACAGCACAAGATATACAGAACACAGAGGACAACATATACAGAAATACAGAGGATGTAGTGGACGTGTTAACTTCACAGCAAAACGTGCAAAAAGGTGCCCAAACCTTTGCATACAACTGTTTTATCTCGAACTTATCCAGTTAATACCTGCAACTTAGGGAACTGTACAAGAAAATGTCATCAAAAATGATAACAATACGGAAATAATAGCAGTGATAAAAAATGCAAGTGGAACTTTTAATACGAGGGGCAGTTAGAGCTTTTTAATTAATGAAAAACAATGAGCTGGACTCACCGAAGGCCTTTTTAGGTCCCACCAGCCTCAGTGTGAAGGGTTCTCCTCTGGGCTGCTCCTTCAGCATCTTGGCAACTTCATAGTGGCGACATCCGACTATGCTCTGGTCATTAACGGCCTCGATATGGTCACCCACACAGACTGTTTTTAGTCGGTCAATAGTGCTGCCCTCTTTTATTCTCTATAAAGGTGAAAAAACAGAAGTACTTACTATGCAGTTCAAATAAAAAGAAGACATAGATAGACAGACAGACAGACAGACATATAGACAGACAGACAGACAGACAGACAGACAGATATATAGATAGACAGACATATAGACAGACAGACAGATATATAGATAGATAGATAGATAGATAGATAGATAGATTGATGGATAGACAGATAGATTGATTGATAGATAGATTGATGAATAGACAGATAGATTGATAGACAGTCAGACAGATAGATAGATAGATAGATAGATAGATAGATAGATAGATTGATGGATAGACAGATAGATTGATAGACAGTCAGACAGACAGATAGATAGATAGATAGTTAGATAGATAGATAGATAGACAGACAGACAGACAGCTGCTTCAGATCTGAAAACATCCACAGGTGTTTCTGTCCATCCTTCCACTGTGAGAAGACGACTCAGCGCTGTGGGTCTGAAAGGATGTGTAGCTGTCAAGAGTCCAGACCTCCTCACTGAATGTGTTTGATTACTTCAGAAAATGATCAACCAGCTTCTGAGACTGAACTTTGGAGGTGTGTCTGCAGATTGAGAACCTGAAAGTGAGTCTCCTGAGAAGAACTGAAGCTGTAGTAAAGGTAAAGAGTGACACACTGAACACTGAAAAATGACTTTATATCTAGCTGTTGAGACTTCTGTGTAATTTTCTTTTCTGCTTTTTTATTCCTCACTAAAAAATGAATAACTTGTACTGAATGGCTGTTTTGCCAAATAAATGAATGAAGGGTGATCTTGGCTTTTGCACATAACTGTGGTGGTTGGGTGGAGGAGAGAGGGTCTGTCTGTCAGCACCGGTTACCTTAATGAAAGCATATCCTGCTCCGTTATCTGTGATGGTCAGGCCGAGGGCGTCCTCCGTTTTAGTGACCTCCACTTCTTTAGTCTCCCCTCTGACGTGAGCGAAGATGAAGTCCTCCAGGCCGATCTGACCGCCCAGCAGCTTCTGCATGTCCACTTTGTGGGAGTTCAGGGTGCAGAAGAGGATCTGAGGAAACAGGATGAGACATTAAACTCTAGACCCCACTGTCAGGATGACCACAGCCATGAGTCAGGCTGAAAACTGATACCCCAACTCAGCCTGGAAGGCCACGTCATGGTTTTACGTGAAAAAAATCAAGAAAAAACTTTTATTTATTTCTTTTATTACTTATTATTTATGCTATAGTGAAACATTTCAAAGCTGTGCTACAAATAGTGTTTTAGTTCTGAATTTTCAAATTTGGTCCTACCTGGTTCTGAATAACAATGTAAATATTGAGTATAACTGAAGTTTAACTGGATATGAAAATGAATAAAATGTAATTAAAAATTAAATAATCCAGCTTGTTACTGGGACACTCTGGCAAAAAAGGATGTTTGAAAGGCTGTTACTTTAGGGGTGGATGCTTGGATGCAGGCTGTTACTGTATTGGCTATCAGTCAGAATTTGTTGAGTACTGTAGGGATGTTTGAAGTATTTGTCCAGTGCATGCTGGGTACTGTAGTGAGAGAACACTGATGGATGAAAACAAGAAAACGTCTGTCAAACTAATGAGGCTGAGTGCTGCACTACAGAGTACTATATTACATAACGAAAAAAAATATATTAAACGTTGCTGGAATGCTCCTTTAATATACTCCCACAACACGTTCCTTTATTAAGGGGGTGTATTTTTTTATGTAAGAGTGAGAACTCTTTCACCTTAGAAATGCAATCTTTCAGTCAGTGTTTAATATTTATTTATTAATTTGCAAAAAGCAGTCAACCCCAATATTTAAGGTGCAGTCTGGTGGACTAAACTTTAAACATTCATAACTAAAAAAACTTGCATGATTTAAAAAATTGCATGATTGAACAGCAGTTTAAATGTGACTTCTTTGCAAAAGCCTGGGTCCTGGATGAGTAGGCAACGAATAACAGTAACTAATAACTAAGTACAAAACTATGCTTGTATAGTCATATTGCATGTTGCATGCATATTGCATAGAAGTTACACAGTTTTACCTGCAGAGGGCAGTGTCTGCTTTAGGCCTGCTAGAACTTCACTCAAGATACTCAGTAGTTTTATGTCTGTAGCAGCTGTGAGTGTTATCAGCAAATGCTATGGATCATAAATACAGCTTTGCTCCCGGTTCTGGTGGTGGTTAATGTTACTGTCGAAATGAAAGACAGATATTAAGTCTCTTACATGGTGTAGGAAATATGTAACCTCCTAATGTGGCTCATGCTATGTGCTAAAAAGGCCTGCAGCTCATCAGCCGTGTGAGAATTACATGTTGTTTTGTAATTAGAGATCACACATTGCTACCACTGCAGTTCTCTTTCTGCAGTTGTTGAGAAATCATCATTAAACCTCCAGCAAGTTTGGTCTGATTGTGTGCTTCTATACAGCTTTTTGATTGGACACACAATTTTCATACAATGATTTTTAAATTCCCAAAGGAATGAATGGCAGAACTAAGAGTTTGTGCACCTCTCTCATGTCACCAAGATGGAAATATAATAGCAACAATCTAGCATCCATGTGGGATACCATAGCAACTGCCAAGCAGCAATCTAGCAGACACTTTGGAAACCATAGCAATCACCTAGTAACGCCCAAGCAACCACCTGGAATACCATAGCAGTCACCTAGTAACACCCTAGCAACTACCTGGAATACCATAACAATCACCTAGTAACACCCTAGCAACTACCTGGAATACCATAACAATCACCTAGTAACGCCCTAGCAAGATATCATAGCAGCTTTTTAGCAAATCCTAAGCAACCAACAGGGATACCATAGCAATCACCTAGTAACACCCTAGCAACTACCTGGAATACCATAACAATCACCTAGTAACACCCTAGCAACTACCTGGAATACCATAGCAATCACCTAGTAACATCCTAGCCACTACCTGGAATACCATAACAATCACCTAGTAACGCCCTAGCAAGATATCATAGCAGCTTTTTAGCAAATCCTAAGCAACCAACAGGGATACCATAGCAATCACCTAGGAACACCCTAGCAACTACCTGGAATACCATAACAATCACCTAGTAACACCCTAGCAACCACCTGGAATGCCATAGCAATCACCTAGTAACACCCTAGCAACCACCTGGAATGCCATAGCAATCACCTAGTAACACCCTAGCAACCACCTGGAATGCCATAGCAATCACCTAGTAACATCCTAGCAACCACCATGGAAACCATAACAATCACCTACTGACACTCTAACAACAAGATACCATAGCAGCTGGTTAGCAATACCTAAGCAACCAACTGGGATACCATAGCAACCGGTTAGCAACACCTTAGCAACCACCTAAAATTTAGAAACCATCTGGCAACATTCTAGCAATTGCTTAAGGTGGTCATTACTCTGCTTTTCTTCAAGAAACACACTTTTCTATCTTTTATTATGTCTTTTATGATTTTTTTAATCATTTTTATTTGTTGAGTTTCTTATTATTTGTTTTATTTTATATTATTTTATTTATTATTGTCTTTTTACTTAACTTTCTTGTCTTATCTTACTTAGAGCTGTATTTAATGTATGAAAGGTGCTATATAAATAAAGACATTATTATTATTATTATTATTATTATTGTTGTTGTTGTTGTTGTTGTTATTTATCTCAATATGTTTTTGTGGTCCCTAAACCTGCAGGCTTCTTTTTCAGTCATTGTTAATAAGAGTTATTATTCAGTAACTACTATGAATTATTCATAGCTGTAAAACTACTATGCCCATTTTGAACACTCTTAAAATGGGCTCTTCTAGGGTTCTCTGGCAAATCAAATGGTTCTGTATGGAACCATGAACATTTAAAGAAGCCTTTGCATGATTAAAGGGTTCCTTGCATTATAAAAAGTTTCTTTAGATCGAAAGAGAATATGCTGTAGATGGTCCTATACAGAACCTTTTTGAAAAAGGGTTCTATATAGCGCCAAAAAAGGTTCTTCTATTGTTACAATGTCAATCTTCTTACAATAGAAGAACCCTTCTTGGTGCTATACAGACCCCTCTGCAGCACATTCTCCATCAATCTGAAGAACCCTTTTATCATGCAAAGGGTTCTTTGAGTGCTCATGGTTCTATATAGAACAATTTTCTTTACTAAAGAACCCTTGAAGAACCATCTTTTTCAAGTGTGTAGCATACAGACTCTTACCTTTGTCCATTTAGGCCACATAGTTTGATCTGTTAAATCTATAAGGTTCGTATTGTGTGATCAGAGGCCTGCCTGCCCTGCAAGCCCTGGAGTTCTTCCACATGTCCTCACTTTCCAGACTGCAATCTGAGCGAATTTGACCTAAATAAGAGCCGCCTGAGCTGGACGAGATAACCAGGCTTCCTTGGCCGTAATCGTAAACTAAATGCCACTGTAGATAAGAGATCTGCTCAAGGACAAAACCCCACATGCGCTTCTATAAAGTTGCTTCTATAAAGTCGCTTCTATAAAGTCGCTTCTATAAAGTCGCTTCTATAAAAGCATATTTATTTTGAAATATTTCAGTCAGTTATGCCGATATTTGTCACACAAGGAATCCCATGCAGTTCTCACCAAACTTATCCGTAAAGGGCCGGTGTGGCTGCAGGTGTTCATTCCGAGTATATGCAGCACACCTGATTGCCTTTGCTTAATCAGTTGGTCTCAGTGATCAAACTATTGATTAGCTATGTCATATGAGACGTGCTGCTGCATGGCTGGAATGAAAACCTGCAGCCACAACGGCCCACAGCTCATTACATTTGCTCTGTTTATGTACAGTTCTGATGGATTTGCAGTTTCCTTAGTAAAGTTTGTGCACCCCCGCACAAATGACAAGGTGTTATTGATTTGAAAATATAATGAAGTGATGAATTAAGTGAAAATAAATTAACACCTCCTCTACAGAGAACACACTTCTGCACATTTTAATGCACAATTACTATTTATTTGCTAAATTTCTCATATTGGTAAAAAAATAATAAAGCATAAAATATGGCCTGTGCACAAATTGTGGCATATTTTTTATTTTATGCTTTATTTTATTCCAATATGTTAACCCTTGTGTGGTGTTCAGGTCTGTGGGACCCATTTTCAATATTTACCAAAAGAAAAAAATGATGCAATTTATTATTATTTCAACCTCAGATTCCTTGGCCTTTGCTATTTATATTACACGTGTGGTGCTGGGTCAACCTGCGGGGAAAAAAAGTGTGGAGGTGCTGTGTCCTTCACTCTGCTCTCCTCCTACATGGCCTGGTGTTTGTGTGTGTGTGTGTCTGTGTGTGTATGTGTTTGTATATGTGTCTGTGTGTGTGTGTGTGTCTATGTGTGTATGTGTTTGTATGTCTGTGTGTGTGTTTGAGGGTAGACAACACGAACAGGCTGCTGACTGGCTACAGCTGCTAAAGGAGAACCCTACGCTGGACACTTGTGATATTTTTAAAACATCTGGTATTTTTATATAAATTATTATGGCTGTATTGATTTAAAAAACAATAATGCAGTGAGTCCAGCAGACCACTGAGTAACACACACATCAACACCACACAAGAATTAAACTCAGCAAATAAATAGAAATTGTGCACTAAAATGTGCAGTAAAATGCCATGTTTAAGTGTGTTCTCTGTAGAAGATGTGTTAACTTATTTTCACTCAGAAAATTAACAAAATATGCAGTTTGACCTGGGATGTTCAAACTTTTGCACACAACTGCATTTGTGAGGAGTTTAGTTTCCCTCAGTTCTAATTCAGTCCTTCTTGTTTAGTTCCTTATTTAATTTAATTCTGTGGTGTTGGAGCTTTAGCAGTTTATTTTAGACCAAAAAGGATCCAGAAAAGAGAAGAGTAACGGACGTCTCACAGACCTCAGTTCCTATGCTGGTAGATGCTGGAAGCACTAAGAAGTTGCGCTGCACTTCTACAGGGAACTGAAAGAGGAGAGTTTTGGACCTGGTGCTTTTTTATTTTTCCTTGTTGACTTATTCATTTAACTGAACTGACAATACATTTATGTTTTAGACCTCTGCAGTGCTCATGCTGCAGGTTGGTATAGTGTAGTGCGTAACACCTCTGCCTTCTACGCTGTAGACTGGGGTTCACTCCTCTGCCTGGGTAAGCACCCTACACTAAACCAATAAGAGTCCTTGGGCAAGAGTCCTAACACTACCTTCACCTACCTGTGTAAAATGATCAGATTGTAAGCCGCTCTGGATAAGAGCGTCTTCCAAATGCTGTAAATGTCATGCAGATATTTTAACAGGTTCTAGCATAATTCTACATGACTCATTGTGCTAAATAGCCAGTCTTTAATTGTAGCACTTTATTTGACTCATTTAGGTGATTTTCATTGTGAAAAAAGTCATTTTGGCCCATTAAAGGTACAGTGTGTAAGATTTAGGGAGATGTATTAGCAAAAATGGAAGGTAGTATACAGAGCCATAGTGTATAATTATAATAATTATATTATCCTGTATGTTTCCGTTAGCTTAGAATGAGCCCTTCATATCAACGTACGGTGCGGCTTCTCTTTCAACAGAGGCCACCATGTTGCGCCACCATGTTTCAAGGAAGTGAAAACATACCTAGGTTCTACTACATGCTTAGAAAGGGAGGGGTGAGGGAGGGGTCTTCAGTTGGTTGCAGTCTGCAACTTCACCACTAGATACCACTAAATCTTACACACTGCACCTTTAAAGAGCCGATAATGTTCTAAACACTGGGACCTCGGATAGTAGAAAGTGCTAGAAATGTGTTGTGTATTATGTCGTCACTTAGTTCATAGATAGATAGATAGATAGATAGATAGATAGATAGATAGGTAGATAGATAGATAGATAGATAGATAGATAGATAGGTAGATAGACATGTAAACAGCTGTTTTATCTTGTAACTGGGCCCATATGACTGTGGGCCTGTCATGAATTCAACTCTTCTAGACCTGTACAGCAGAATATTTGCTTCATGATGCTGGACTCTATCATTTTCTAGCTATGAATAGATTTCTGTTTCTGACCTCAGAGAAAGAGGAAACTGCCGGAATAACGATAAACCCATCTAACTGACGCATCATCAATCACAGGCCCCTCAGTGACCTTTCCTGTTTATCTATTTCCACTCCTGTAAAAACGATGATCTCCTCTCAGATCAAAACGCAACATAATCACACCAACCCTGTTTCTGATGCTGTCACTTATCACAGCATACAAACCATCTCACTGTTTCATTTGTGTCTTATGAGAAATAAATAATTTAAACACATTAAAGGTAGTTTAACCATTCAGCAGTGACTTCTTTCAGAATATGATCTTGGATTGCATTATTTTTTCATACAGATATCTGTGTCACAGTGCAGCCTCAGAGGGAGAGATACATGCACATAAAATAAAAAAAAAAAAAGTAGTGATTAAGCCCACAGTAAACCATCTAAAATAAAATAGATAACGTCACTTAACTGACAGATTATCAGTCAGTCAGTGAACGTCCGCACTGTGACCTTTTCACAAGACTTCTTGTGATCATTACGTTCCTGTAAAGTTGATGCCCTCCTCTGGGAGTCTTGAAGCTGATACAATCAGACCGACCCCATTTCCGACACTGTTTATCACTCATCGCAGCGTACAAACAAATCATCTGCTTCTTATGTTTATTATGAGGGGAAAAAATCCAGAAAAAGTTTTTGAATCCAGAAAAGACAGTTTGATGTTTTTAGCAGTGAATCTCTTTAGCCTTCATAATCCTGGCTCATCATTATTGTGCTATTTTGTCTGATTATATATGGGCCCAATCCCATTTCACCCCTCGCCCCTACCACTTAGCCCTAACCCCTCCATTTTGCATGTTCATGCCTAGGTGTAGGGAGTCCTGATTCTTGTTGAGATGGAGGGGTCTGGAGGGGGTGAAGTGTTGGGGCTACATGGCCCTCCAAACAGAGGTTTTTCAGAGACACCAAACAGAGAGTTATGAGAAAAAAAATGGCAAGATGGCTGAACAAGCGACCAAAGAAACACACAAATGTGAGAATTTTCTCTGTTAAAAATTAGAGTAACCATTATATTATCTTAGTTTAATGTTGTTTCAGTGTATTTTGGTCCTTTTCTTCGTAACAAGCATAAAATATCGCTAGTAGTATGCTGATGTCTCGGTAGCTAGCTAGATAAATTTCCTGTTCCACCTTAAATAGTCTTGCAGTTCAGTTCTGATGCCTAAGATGCCTGAATGTAACTGCTGCTCCATTTAAGGTGGAACTGGAAAATTAGAATGAGAAGCTGGCGAATAGCTGACTTCAGCTTCATATCACTGAAGAATTAGGGGTGGACAATAATACATTTTTTATTATTATAAAAAAAATAATACATTTTTTATTAAATCATATGCCATCTTCGACGGCATATGATTTCCTAAATTTAAAGCCCAGCAGTGAGGAGCTGAACTTTACCCTCCTCTGCTATCACTGCAGACTGGCAGGGTCGCCTACAGAGCAGCGCTAGTAGCTGTTAATGAAGTGATGTTCTTTTTTATTTGAGGGTCCCATTTCAGAGGGAAGATTTCAACCACTACCCTGTAACAATGGTTATACATCCCCACAGTCAGAAACAAAACCTCTGAAATGGTGGCTTTCCAGGAGAAGGAAAAACATTCTGAATTTTTTTCCAAGTAATTTTGGGCCAGATCAATTGGTCCAGTAATCATGACATTAATTCATTATTACACACTTTGTAACCTAAGAATAACTCCATTAGTTTGCATTGAAGTCCCTGTAGTTACTGAATAATAAGCATTTGTGTGAAATAAACCTGGAATGTTAAGGGTTAATTAATCAATTAATACAATCCAAAGGGTAACTGGAGTTTTCAAATTGTGCAAAATGTAAAAAATGAAAAAATAGATATACAAGGTTTTTGTGCAACAGCGCCGATATACAACGATGACAGTGTAAGGAACCATTTGAATGCTCAAATGTTTCTTTGCCGTTTGCAAAATGCTTTTTTTATGTGATAATATAATAATAAACATGATATCAGTGGAAAGAGGTAAATACAACTTGGGCCAAGTACAGTTAAGGAAGCATAGCTCTTTCTAGGACCTAAAGGTACTATGAAGAACCTGCTTTTTAAAGTTCTTTATAGAGACTTCAACATACACTCTCAGAAAGAAGCTAGTAAACTGTCTCTGGGACAGGACCCCTCTTCTCACTGGGGTGGTTTCCTCAAGGCTCCATCTCAGTACCTTTAGTCAGGGAACATAACTGAACCATAATCCACTGAAATGATATGTTCTAAGCTGTATTGACTCCACACACCCCGTCTCGTCTCCAGGCTTTTATTTTACTGTTCTGTTTTAAATCATTCGGTTATGAAAAGGTACAAATACGAACTTTTCACCTGGAAAAACTTATTTAAGGTTCACAATCAGACCTTAAAACCACTGTTGTACCTTTGAGGGAACATTTACACTGTTTGTACCTTGATGAATGAAAAATGTACCTGAACAGAACCTTTATTTCTAACAGTGTAGCATCAAATAGGGTTCTGCTTCTCTCACAAGTCATTGAACTCTTTTAGTTATGCGTTCTTAGCAAAAAAGGTTCTTTAAAGTACCAAAAAAAGATTTTTTGGGGTGTTAAGTTCCTGAAAGTGTTCTTTAAAGATGTTTTCCATCTTGGAGAAGAACAATTTAACCATGCAAAGAACTTTTTATGCATTCAGATGTTTCTTCGAGTGTTCACGGTTCTTCACATCATTGTCTGTGCTAAAGAACCCCTGAAGAACCATTTTTAAAGGGTGTACACACTTAAAAATTAGTTACTGGCTAAAAACGGTTCCTGGCTTGGACGTGCAGTTCTAAGAACAACCTGTTTTTTCCTCGAATGCAAAATTGGTGTTGAGCTGCTTCGTTACATGGAGGTTCTTTAAACTTTCAAAAGGTTCTTCATACTCAAACATCTCATTTATAGAAATGGTTCTTTAAAGAACCATGCTTTCATGGTTCAAACATTCTGTAGGGAACCACAAGAGGTTTTTTTATGGCATCATGCTGAAGAACCCTTTTTAGCACCTTTATTTAACGGGAACTGTTGTACCTTTGAGGGAACATTTACATTGTTTGTACCTTGATGGACAAAAAATGTACCTGCACAGAACCTTTATTTCTAACAGTGTAGCAAAAAAAAGGGTTCTGCTACTCTTACAAATAGTATAACTTTTTCAGTTATACGTTCTTAGCAAAAAAGGTTCTTTAAAGTAAGTAAAGTGACTTTTTTGGTGGTACGTTTCTGAAAGCATTCTTTAAAGACATTTTCCATCTTGGAGAACAATTTAACCATGCAAAGAACTTTTTATGCATTCAGATGTTTCTTTGAGTGTTCACGGTTCTTTATGTGACTGTTGTCTGCGCTAAAGAACCCCTGTAGAACCATTTCTAAAAGTGTGTTCACTTTTAAAAAATTAGGTTCCTAAATGGTCACTGGCTTAGATGTGCAGTTCTGGGAACAACCTGTTTTTTCCTAGAACACAATATTAGTGTTGAGCTGCTACATTACATGGAGGTTCTTTAAAGTTTCAAAAGGTTCTTCATACTCAAACATCACATTTATAGAAATGGTTCTTTAAAGAACTTTACTTTCAAACATTCTGTAGGGAACCACAAGAGGTTCTTCTACCTTTATCTTTAAGAGTACAGATAGAACTCTTCACTAAGAATGTACCCACCTCAGAGGGTGAGATGTTGAAGACCTCTGCGATCTTGGCGTAGAGTTCCTTCACATTGGTGAAGCCGTGGATGCGGCCCGTTGGGCTTCCGTGAGCCAGCTGGGTGTGGAACACCAGTCTGGGTCTGGGGCATGGTGGAGGCCCTGGCGGAGGAGGAGGTGATGGAGGTAACGGTGGAGCTGAAGGAGTCAAACGGTTCTCCTCTTCTCCTGCCGAGCTTTTGGATTCCTGCGTTTGTGGGCTCATGGCCTCTCCGTTCTGCATCGGCTCCTGCTCGCACTTCTTCCTCCCGGACCCTTTCTGCATGCTATCCGGCTGGGACAGACACAGCCGTCCCGAGGTGGGTCCAGCGTGCTGAATTAGTGATGAGGGTTGCCAGGTAACGGTGAACAGGTGAGCGAGGTTGGCTTTGCTGAGGAGGAACCCGACACCATTTTAGCTGGGGATCGCATTATTGTCATCGGAGACCAGCGGAGAGCAACAAACCCTCCGAGCCAGGGAGGCACCTGAAGAATGACCGCCCAGCCAGCCATGATGCCCATCTGGCAGAAGATAAGGGCTTCACGCCTGTCAGACGATGCGGCTTCTTCAGTTTAAAGAAAACAAACCTTAGGAAAAATATCGATAGTAAGATTAATAGTAATAACAATTTATAATGAATTTCTATAAGGATCTTAGGTAACAGTTCAGTATAGGGGGCCTTATAATCCCCTTATAATGCTCTTATTAAGTCTTATCAAGCTAATACGCTGTTAGGTTCTGTGCAGGTACATTTTTCGTACCTTCCCTCAAAGGTACAACAGTTCCTGCTAAATAAAGGTGCTAAAAAGGGTTCTTGAGTGTGCTGCCATAGAAACACCTCTTGTGGTTCCCTACAGAATGTTTGAACTATGAAAGCATGGTTCTTTAAAGAACCATTTCTATAAAGGACATGTTTGAGTATGAAGAACGTTTTGAAACTTTAAAGAACCTCCATGTAACGAAGCAGCTCAACACCAATTGTGTGTTCTATGAAAAAAACAGGTTGTTCCTAGAACTGCACGTCCAAGCCAGGAACCATTTAGGAAGCTAATTTTTTAAGTGTGTACACCCTTTAAAAATGGTTCTTCAGGGGTTCTTTAGCACAGACAATGGTTGTATAAAGAACCATGAACACTCAACAAAACATCTGAATGCATAAAAAGTTCTTTGCATGGTTAAATTGTTCTTCTCAAAGATGGAAAACGTCTTTAAAGAACATTTTCAGGAACGTACCACCAAAAAAGTCACTTTACTCTTTTTAGAGGACGTTTCTTGTTAAGAACATATATCAAAGAAGTTTTATGACTTGTGAGAGAAGCAGAACCCTATTTGATGCTACACTGTTAAAAATAAAGGTTCTGTTCAGGTACATTTTTCATTCTTCGAGGTACAAAAATGTAAATGTTCCCTCAAAGGTACAACAGTGGTTTTAAGGTCTGATTGTGAACCTTAAATAAGTTTTTCCAGGTGAAAAGTTCGTATTTGACGGGGTGTGTGGAGTCAGTACAGCTTAGAACATATCATTTCAGTGGATTATGGTTCAGTTATGTTCCCTGACTAAAGGTACTGAGATGTACCCTTGAGGGTACCACCCCAGTGAGAAGAGTGGAACTGACCCAGTGACAGTTTAGTGCATGGAAGCTTTAGTGAAAGTTCTGCCAGGAAGACTCTAATGCTTCATCATTCATTCATTACTCCTGACCGATCACAGGCCTACATCTGTCTTTAAAATGACTCGACTTACGTACCTATTCTGCTGCTTTCAGGTGCCCATGTTTTGATGTTCCCCTCCTTCCTCCCCACCACCACCAGTTGGCTCCCTGTCTGGTTGTCCGAGGTGGGGGGGTGGATTACTGGCTCCGCCCCTGCCATCTCCATCTGGCAATCTGGCAAGATCAGGGAGGGTCTAAGACCTGGACTAAGGACGGGTCCTTTCCAAGGACTCTTTATTTTCTACTAAATTCTGGCAGAACTTCATTTTTAGAGTGTAGCTACTAATTAGCTGCTCATTACTAATTTATTAACCAGTAAAAATAGTGACAAGCTTTTTTTGAGCACTTTTATTTATCTATTAAACATCAAAACACCAATGGTTGCAAATTAACTTTACTACTTTATTAAGCAACAAGTAAATTACCCAGTTTCCATTTCAGCCCCAATTCCCAACTGTGCACTTTTATTTGTTTCATTCACTTTTTTATTCCTATCAATGCCTCAAAAAAAAAATCACAAATGAGCTGTAAGTAAAGACAAATTGACCCTCTACTGTAGAGAAGAGTTCTTCAGTTTGGGGAAATGTAACCCTCTTTGGCAAAGTCAGGAATTTAGACTAAATATTCATAACAATATTTCATTTTAGTGAAGAGCACAGTGCACATCCTTTACAGAGAACACTGTACATTTTAATGACCAATTTACTGTTCATTTGATGAAATAAAAATATTGGAAAATTAATAAAACATAAAATGAGTCTGTGCAAATGTAATGGCACATTTTATATTTTATATATATATATATAATGTGTTAAATAGAGACTGAGCACAAAATTTGGAAAAAAATGCCATATTTCAGCGTTCATACTTATTTTCAGTTAGAAAATTAACCAAATGGCAAATGTGTAATTAGACCATCAATCTTTTGAAAATATATATCCCATTTCAAAAACAGCAATATATATATATATATACATCATCTAAACCACTTACCCTTCTGGGTCGCAGTGGGGTGCTGGAGCCTATCCCAGCTGTCATTGGGCAGAAGGCAGGATACACCCTGGACAGGTCGCCAGTCCATCGCAGGGCAGACAGACAGACAGACATATACATTCACACCTAGGGGCAATTCAGCACATCCAATCAGCCTGACTGCATGTTTTTGGACTGTGGGAGGAAACCCACGCAGACACGGGGAGAGCATGCAAACTCCACACAGAAAGGACCCCGGTTGCCTGGCCGGGAATCGAACCCAGGCCCTTCTTGCTGTGAGGCGACAACACTACCCAGTGCGCCACCGTGCCGCCCTATATATATATCACTGTTGTCCATTTTTCAGTTTTTGACATAATTTGAATGTAAATCTGATGATGAATACCATGTGTGTGTGTGTGTGTGTGTGCGTAGGTATATATATACATATATGCATAAACTTACTTTTTCATTTTAAGCTTTGTCACATACCATATCTCAGAATGCACTACTTATTTCTCACTTATTTATTACCTGAAATGCCTTAATTAATTACTTGAGCATGTATGTGTTTAATAATCAGTTCAGTTTGAACTATTTATAAGCCATTTCTTTGGTTAAAATCAAAATGCCAGTTTTTTGGCCTAGTTGATCTTCATCAGGGCAGAAGGCAAAGCACTGTCAGGTGATCTCAGTCAACTCACACAATCGGTCATCTGATTTTATGTGAATCAGGAAGTTACCATTAAACATCCTATAAAAAACACCCGATAACACTATGACATATGGCAATGACAGTTACAATAAAAATTACAACATATCAAATAAATGTAAAAATGAATTGTATGTGAGGTGAGTGAGGTAGCTCAGAGATAAATATAGAACATTTGCATGATCTAAACCCCATGACAGCTACAGCATCAAATTAAACATTATAACTGGGTGAAAATGTCCCTCGTAAAGTACTGTAGCTGACTTATGCACTGTGATCATGACAAGGGTGAGGACAGTAGTGACGGCTTAGAACAAAAGTAAATGAACTCTGAGTAACTGAAGTAAACGAGAGACAAAAATAGAACAAAGAACAACAGTTTACGGGTCATTCTATGGAAACGCTCATTTTTGTGTCCCTAGCGTTTGCAGATATATTACACTTGAACATGTTAGGGTTATAATTTATTTATATTTTAAAATAGAACAATAAGTTATTTTAACAATTACACCTTCTTGAGCCTCAATTTAGCAATGTTGGTTTTTAAATCAATTATCTAGAATTCCAAGCACCACAGAAGAGCTCGTCCCCACAGTCATGTGTAAAGGCTGAGGCCATATTTTGAGGTAAAACACATGTTGTCCCCAGGAGTCGTGTCACTGGTGTTACCGCATAACAAAAAATCTCTTATTTTGAAATAAAAGTCACACTGATGACATCACTTGACTTCCTTTTACCTGTTTTCTGAGGATCTATGAAGAAAAGCACATGGTGAGTCCACTGTGTCTTTCAGTTATCAGAGATTTTCTCATTTAGCTCATGATTTCATATGAAGCTTTTAGCTGAAGTCACTGGTGTGACCGACTCTATTCTGAGGTAATTGTGAAAAAATACAATACAAATGTATTAAATTCCATATTTTAGTGGATGTTCCATGATTGACAACATGTGGTTTGATGCTCTGTAGCAGTTATTTTGTAAAATGCATTTTTCATTAAAATGTCTCTGGTGTTCCCTTTATTATGTGTAACACCGATGACGATCAGTAACACCAGTGACTCCTATGGACAGATAAAAAGTGGACGTTTCTGCAGAATGACCCATACACATTTATGTGGTTGGAAATGGTACAGAATGAGAATGAAGACTAACCATGAACATCCACATGAGAAGCCAACCTGTCGTTTATAAGGCACACTAACCTGTAGTGAGTGATCGCTTTCATCTACATATATTTACTTTATAATATCTCGCCGATTTCTCACACAGGAGCCGCCCGATCTAATGACGGTCATGGGATCAGCGTCAGAGGGCCGATTCATAGAAATACATATTAGAGACTTTGATTACGACATTATGTACAGAGTCAGGCCACCGCATTCTCACACTCCTCTCATCAAAGTTAATGGCTGTCTATAAATACAGTGTAAACATATTTCCAAAAGCACACAGAACAAATGTCTGATTCATTGTTTTATTGACTAAGTGATCTTGTAAATGATGCTGGACTGTGCAAAAGTCATGGGCATCTGAGAAAACTGTATTTATAACACTATTTAATTAGGCAGTATGCATTTATTTTCACAGAAGCTCTAATATTACAATGATTACAGATAACACTAATATAATAAGGGTGTGTCAAGGTGCTTATTTAACCATTTCCACACCTCTCCTCAAGAAAGCCAAGTAGCTGTAGATGTCCCCTCCAAAATCTCATTTGATTAATCAATACTTCATCAAATTAAATCAAGTGCGCTGGTGATGGAACAATCCATGTGTTGGCGAGAGGCTTCGAGGAGCTGTTTTTCACAAGGTATCATGTACTTTTTTAAAACACAAGAAAAAAAACATGCTCACTGCTGAGATGAGTGGTTTTAAATGATATGTTT